AAGATCTTATTTAGAACAGTTACTGTCGTCACCTCTCCCGTGGCGGTTTCATGCTCAACTCAACTCATCTGCTGGCAAGTTGCGGCTGTGCAACTGAAGAGAGAGAGACACAGAGAGACAGAGAGAGAGAGAGAGAGAGAGAGAGAGAGGGTACAATCCGTCTATCAGGCATCACTGCTGCTCTACATACTAGCCAGTGACCTCTGACCTTGTTGACAGCAACCTCACAGCTCAGTGTGTTTACTGACCCCGGCCCCCTCATACTGTGTGCACTCCATAACCCCACTGGTTCCTCTATGTGCATCTGTCTCATTCTAAGCCAAACGTCTACAATGTGCAAATGCTTGTTTTGAGAGCAGAGCAGGTAAACGTCCAGTTAATCTTCACAAACACAGTGTAGTTGCATGTATTTCCTCTTGAACAACTGGTTATTACAACAAATTTAGTCTTATCATCAAAGATTACCATGACACCGTGTTATGTCAGGCTACAGATATTTTCCCACTAATCTTTTATGATCTCTATGACAGGGTTTTAGCTCGGTGGCATTCTTGTGAACATTATGTAAACATACCAAGAGATACATGATAAAATTACAGGACAATAATTCAATTAAACTGGTTTGTTGACACATGGTAGCCCTACATTAGGTACAGCTAAACTGTGCGTCAACGCTGTTGCGCAGCAAATCTATCTTTTTGATCTTGTTACATAACAGAAATGTTTTCATTCATGGATTCACAGTTAAGCGGGACAGACAGATGCAGGCAGTGAAACAGAGAGTCAGAAACAAACCAGAGATAGTGAGAGAGAAGTTTCAAATGACACTAATGCATCAGAATACACATTATTATTTTTATTTCCTCAGAGCGACAGCTGGCCCCGGTCCTATTCATGTGCATGGTCATCCGTGTATCTCGGTAACAGTATATAAACTGTCGATGGACGTTCTCTTTCTTCCAGTATCACGTTCTGGCTGCCTTTTATACTGAAACCAACAAAGATAAATTCATATGTCACCAAGAAATCCGAACTGCCAAGTGCAGTAAACTGACCTCAGTAATCCTGTGCAACTTCCTCGCAAAACTCATCTTACTGGAAGTGATTCAAGGCAAAGCACAAATAACAGGAATGCTTCATCTTCAGTCAAGACCATGGTCATTTAAAACTTTATTAACTGCTAATTGTACCTTTTGTCCATATATACGATATCTAGGTGCTCCATTCCTGTAGATTCCTGAAACCCACCCTACGCAATTTGTTATAAGTAATCATAGGCATAATATATGTTGTTTGTTTTTTTTTATATAGCTGGTCTCAAAATGTGTAAGTTCTGATAACTGACATTATAAACTGTTTTCATAGTGCTTCATAAAACAGCATGATTCAGTGCTAATGCTGATGTCTAAAAGGACATTTCCTTAAAATGCACTGTGAATGAAAGTAGACAAGAACATAAACAGAAAAGGGAACAGGGTCTAATGTAAAGCACTGCTGGAGTGATGTAAGGTGGCACACATACTCATAAGAAGACATGTAGGTCAGGCTTCCGGCTTCAGACGAACTATGACAATTAAGTTAGAACTTAGCTGAAATAGGGGTTAAGAAGACAGTCTCCTCTGTGCTGCTTTCTAAGGCTCGGAAATCTGAAAATCTGATGGCAACAGTGCACCTAAAACAATCACTTCTGGATGAATTACTATACTATTATAACACTTTTATACAACTTTCCATCTGACAGTTTGAGCTTACTCTACAGAAAGCCAAAATAGAAACCCATCTTTCATTGTAAAATGGCAGCTAAATATCAGGCATGGGTCTTGTGCCAAAACTGGACTCATATATATTTACATTGCATTACTAGACAGCAACAGGCATACAAATTGCACTTTCAACTCGCCATGCACACTCACACAAAGCCCACTGTGCAGAGAGTGGACAAAGGGGGCATAAATGGTTAGGGGTGCCTTCATTATTTTCGTGTTGGCACTATGCAGGACTTTCAAGCAAAGTACTTGAATAAGCAGCGGAGTATTACAGTCTGCACAGTTTACAGTCACAGCTTATACATAGCAGCATACCCCAGGGCTGAGGTGTTGTTACTGATACTGGCCTCGCTGCTGCTTATAAATGGCAAGGGGGCAGCTCTCAGCGGGCTGACAGTAAAAAGGGAAAAGTAGCGCATTAATAATCTCACCAGTGCTACCAAGGTCCTCATCAGAAAGCAAACAACAGAGCAGCTTAACTGTAAATTCATGCTATTGCGTTTCTCTACTTTTAAATGAGTCTTATTTTTTTTTTGGTAAAAATTCACGTTTTTCTGATTAAAAGATAAACTTGAAAGTGCATGTGGAAAAGATTGTCTTCAATTTGTGGTTATTACTATTCTTCTCAGATTCAAAACACAATCATGGACTACAATGTGAACAAATGTCCTCAACGGTGCTGAAAGATTTGTCATGCTTGCAGTTCTATGATGTGTTTCGGGATGAATGTGGCTGTACGCATGCACTGTGGCAAAGCAGAGGTATTTTAATTTGGCAGAAAACTTTGCAAAAAAAAAAAAAGTACAACACGAGATTGTGTCTTTCTCTTCCTAAGGACAAATAAGGAGTTACCTATTTTTAATGTGTCCATTTTTAAGCCAGTAAATCACAAAACTTTTCATGTAAAGCGACAACTACGCACTTACAATGTACAGTCGTGGGCTTTCCAGAGGCGGTGGTGTCTGAGCAGAGGCTAACTTTCAGTGCTGGAATATAACTTACCCGCTCTGAAGGTCAGACAGAACGAAGTAAAGAGGCAGGTTCAGGAAAAGTGTGGTGCCCGCTTTCTCTGTGCTCTGATACCAAACCAGCCGCGCACCACCAGGAGGGGGGGAAAAGTCGCGTTGAAATGGACGCAAAGCGTTAAAGAGTTTAAAGTTTCTCTGTATTTCCACACACTGACACGGCGAGCGCAACCGCCGCCACCTCGGTGGCTAATTTGTTTTCGTTTTGACGGTCGAGATGTTGTCACAACTCCGAGCGTCTGCGGTCACCTGTACCACCACCAATGACAGCACGCACGGGGGATTGTGGGAAATGTAGTTTTCTCGCGTCCTCGACAGACGGTGGTATTTTGAGGCGATGACGCGAGGTCCCTTGACTTCAAAGGGGGTTTTAGGAAGTCTTGTAACTTTAGAAGTCTAAAGTTACAAGACTTGAATACTTCCAGGACCTAAATGAAGATGTCGCTTTTATATTCGGTTTATTTTTAAAGTGTTTATGTTTACGTGTTTACCACCAGTTTGGTTTGGTCTCCAATTAGTTGCAGTCCAACTATAGAGAACACAATTATTTGATTCCTTCACTCTAAAGAGGTGGCCTAGTATTTCTGAGGTAATGTGATTTTATCCTTCACATATTTGAGTCAAAAGATCAACATACTTTAATTCCCAAATGCCTTTTTTTTTTTTTAAATATTCACATTGCATTGCAGACACAGCTGTGCATTTAAATAGCAGCAGAGGAGGCTGTATTTTCAGGAACACATTTCTAGGACCTTTGTTTTTTATTACTCCTATTTTTGGGACCAGATAATGTGACAGCTACTCGTGTTTTTCTCAGGCAAGCTAACCTTTCTAACCTACAGATACAGTTTTGGGTGGACAAACGTTTAAAGCCATAACTTGTTTATTAGAAAGTACTATTTGAGTGGAATAAACCTTTAGAAATATAAATACTTGGACATAAAGCAGTACTGTCCCCTGCCTTCGCCCTAAGTCGGCTGGGATAGGCTCCAGCCCCCCCCGCGACCCTAATGAGGATTAAGCGGTGTATAGAAAATGGATGGATGGATAAAGCAGTACTTTTGGATGGAAAACCTTTATACCTACAGTCATCCTCAAATTTATTCATACCCTCCCATTAAAGAAGGGGGGAAAAAAACAGCTGTCACTGAAACAAGTTGAAATTGACAAAGTAATAATAAATACAAATTTTATGAAAATGACATGACATTTATTTTGAATTGTGGTACAACAGAAATATTAAGAACACATTTTTTGTTGAACAACCCTTTGATCCAATCACTGCAATCAAGTGTTTTCTGTAACTCTCAATCAGACTTCTGCACCTGTTGACAGGTATTTTGATTTTGGCCCACTGCTCATCAGCAAAGTGCTCTAATTTGTCCAGGCCAGTTTTTTTTCTTTCTTTCTTTTATTATTATTATTATTCTTTTCAACCACAATTCCAAAACAATGTCTTTTTTCACTTAATTATAATTTAGCAATTTTTTTTTATTTATTATTACTTTATTCAGTTTCTGGTTATTTGAGTGACTGTTGTGAATTTTGCCTTTTTTTAATGGAAGGGTATCAATAAATATGAGGATAACTGTCTTACTAATTTATTAGAAAGTACAATTTGAGTGGATTAAACCTTTAAAACATCAAGTACTTGAACATACAGCAGCATTGTGGAAGGAATAAACCTTTAAAAAGAATTTTAAGTGGTATTTTGGGTTAGCATAAACCTTGAAATCTGTGAGTCGTGGACTTTAGCAGTCTGGTGCTGCTGTCCAAACAAACAAGTGTCCTAGAAGTGGAATCCTGCAGTCTTAAAATTGCTGCCTCCTGTGCTGCATACGCTTAGAATTGGTGCTTTTAAAGACCACCTAATATAGCTGATAATGTTATTGCTGTCTTTGCTAAAAACAAACTGTTTTTTGCTTCACTAGTCAGTTAAGTACAGAACATAGAGACTAGGATAAGCGTGTCAATGGTATGAAAATCATTCATGCATATATAAAATTGTGGGGGGCCATCCAGTGATCCTTGGAGTGCATAATTCCAGAAACCAACTGCTCCTATACAGGGTATTGATGAGTGGTGTGTTCCATACAGGTAATACCTAGTATGACCATAGGAGGGAGACAAACATGTAAATATATTGTCCACATCTTGTAAGTGCAGACTATGAATAACCATCAGCATCTCACAGACAAGAATGGAGAACTTTGAATGGGCAGTTTCAGTTTTTATTTCAGTATGGTAAGCTTATTTATCAATGGAACTCTCATTCGATAAAACTAGACCACTTCTAAAACAATCAGCTGTCCTTTGCTATGGCGTTCTGCCATCAAACTAGAATTTTTATTACTACAAGTGCATGTTGTTAATCTAGTGACTTTCTTTCACAGCATATGTGCATATCAGTCCAGGTTAAATGACTGTGACTATGTTGAAGAGATGAATAAATCAATGTCAACAGTAGCTTCATCATGTAGCATGTGACTGGTAAAATTCTACCCACACTGAACACACACACCAAGACGGACCACTTTAAACACTTTGACCCATTCCAAGTCGAGACTGGAAAGCCACAGGTGGCAGTAAAGGACAGAGCACACATAATCAGAAAAAAAGACAATCAGGATAGTTTTAGCCAAAAATCACAAAGAAACACTGCCTAGATCAGCAGATGGTGTCTGAGGTAAATCATCTCTTTGGATCATTCAGTGCAGAGCAGTCATTAATGTTTACATAATACTAAATGAATCTCCCTCAAATTAAACACAATAAAAATGTTTTTAAAACAATAATACATCCCTGCTGATGCAACATTGTCAAAATTTAAGCTAATGCAAAATCCTGGTATTACAGGGTAATGTTTCAAGTTAGCACAAAACAAATTACTATAGGGACAAACAAAATTGAAAACCTGGTAATCTGTCCCTCCATGGCCTTTAAGGACTCTTTTAGAAAACGTGTCATACATGCAACGATGTTGTCTGTGTAAAACACCGGGGGACTGCAGTGGGTCGCACAAAATGTTCCTCTCTGCCATGTGTGCATGGCTGGGCCTGAAAAGGGATGTGCCATGTTATGACCGTCACGATTGGCCTTTTGAAAATGACAATCAAAATGTGTATGTGCAAAAAATGTGTCACTCAACATGATCCAATATTATTTTTTGTTCGTTTTATGAATGATGAGTGATGAGATAATGGCAGGATTCCTGATGTGACAGTCTACTTTAGCAGGAACTGAGGTGTCAGGACTTTCATGTGTAGGGTAAGGAGGGATACTGTGGATGCCACCAGTCCATGAGCCTCACACTGTGTACGGGATCCAACACCACCTGGGTCCCACTTTGATCCCCTTTCTTCTTCCCCCGCTGCAGTGGCGAGTCCTGAAACACCAGACGAACGCGGTGGTGGCGCATGTCTGTGCTTACATTGATTGTGAACTGTGAAAAGCAGAAAGATGTGAACAGATTAGAAGAGGCATTAAGGAAGTAAGATCTGGTATGTAAACTAATTTTCTAATTAGTCTGTCAACAAAAAGGGTTATTTTAATCTTTGAAGCACAGCACAATCACGGCTCAGTCTGAATAACCACAAATACAATGATCAGAAAACCTGGAATAGGTCCCTCCATTCATAGCAATTTTATCAAAGCTTCCTGTCATTTCTGAAGTCATGGAGGAAGACATTTGTGAAAAACTAACAGATAAGAGCTCTTTGAAGTGGTCCAGTCTGGTGTTTGATCACAAGCTGCAGATGCAGTTTTACTCACATCTAAAAGTTTCGGTCTCTAAACCTTCTTACTGCCACTGACACTGGGCAAAGTTCCATCGCAGTCCATTTAACAACAGCCAAACACAAGGGATTTTGTGACAGAGTCACTGCTTTTACTGTTAGTAAATTGGACTTTTGTCTATCTATGTGGGGAGCTCTACCCGTTCTTCAGAATCATTCAGTTGACAGATAGGGCTGGGCCATATCATACTGTGCACGGTAATACCTGGTGTAATGCTAGGGGATGATATGAAATTGAAATATTGCGATAAAATGTGAGTGAAACGTGCATGCACAGTGGTTGTTTTCATCCGGTCTAACGCACATGGAGTGAGAAGCAAAGCATGGCAGCGACCAAGGAGGAGGGCGAATGCAGTGGATCGACCGACACAGTAGGGCTGGACCCGAATATCGGAATGTTCAGTCGTTGTGGTGGTGTCCCCATAGCAATTTTGAGATCAAAATATTTGCAAATTTTCTCGTTTATATCATGATAAATATTTTTGGCCATATCACCCTACCCTGCTGACAGAAGAGTTAGAGATTAGATGATTAAATGACACAACAAGAACCCACTGCATGGTTGTGTATGCCACTACACAGTTACTTTCACTCAGTAAAATTGCTTTAATTTTTAAAAACATTAACCCACATATATTAACTTTTAAATTCTCTATCAAAAAGCAAAAAACAAAAACAAAAAAATCTTATCACCTCCCACACAGCCTGCTGTTGTCATCAACGCCCTATCACACTTGAATTTGTTCTATTGCACTTATCTAGACTGTTTTCTCCTGAATAGATCCTTGCTTGTGTTGTATCTGCTCTCAGATGTACATTGCTTTGGATAAAAGCGTCTGCCAAATGAAATTGTAAAATCTATCATTTAAAAACACAGGTCAGCTTTAGGGTAATACATACAAAAAAATTAAAAAACAGCTTAGCTGCCAAAAACAGCTACTTGCCAGCGTCAGCGTCATGCCCATGACTACTGGAGTGAAGATGAAGTTCAGAGTGGTGACCTGAAGCACATAGCAGTCAGAGTCTGGATTCATGTGAACATCTTCATATTGTCGAGGCGTGCACAAGGACTTGGCACAACCATTCTTACTGTGTCCCTGCTGGGATGGAGATAAACAGACAATCAAAAATATAAATAGGAGCCAGAGCCACAAAAGGTTATGCACAACTCTTTGTTAAGCTAACATAATGACAAAGAAATGTAGGTAGCTTATTTTTATTTACAAGTCTGTTACCTGCTTTATAAATTTGAAGTTGAACTCCCACAATGTCTCTGGCCGAGTTCCTGACAGCTTTTTGACCCAGAAGAGTAAACACTAAAACAGGAAAAAAATAAGCGTAAAATGGGCGTTGTTGGGAGGCCTGCTGGAAGATCAGTTTTCATGCATACTAATGTTTCTAGCTGTTCTTCGTCTTGTTAGGAAAACTTAAAAAGCAAAGTGAGAAATGTGTTTTCTGTTTGACTTTCATGTGTCAAACCATGGGCGGTTGGTTGACGGTATAGTTCTCAGTACAACCAAACACTGCATGAAAGGTTCTTCCCATGAAAGCAGGTTCAACTTAGTGTGGCTCTCTCAGGGTTTACTCTGGTCTATAATTGCCATGGACAACTTGTATAAGGCTGGTTCTAAATAGGCTTAATTAATCCTGAGTTTTCCTATGCAGCCATAAAGGTTTGCATGACAGGTGGAGATTGCACACAAATGCCCGTCACATGCAAGCAGATCAGCTCTACATTGGCATCGTACCACACTGACTACAGAAATACGTGCTAATTTACCTTAGAGTTGATCAAGGTAGTTGGCGTGGATTCTGGCAGTGCAGGAATTTTTGACACACGCAAGCTGAACGGCTCATACAAATGGAAAAGGGAACGAATCACACAAGCCCGTAGGCAGAGCATCCTATCAATGGAGTCAGGCTGGAGACGAAACGGCAGATCAGTATCAATCTTGTAGTGTCTTTAATAAACAGAGACAGAGGGAAACGATAGAGGGAAAGAAAAGACATTAATTAGACAATATATTAGTTTCTTTACCTATTTTATATACTGGAGACATTCAAAACATCTTCTCCTGTCACAATGCTGATGATGGATATGGTCTTCATATTAACAAGAAATCATGAACGATGGTGGATGCTTTTGTACATTACAAGCCCTTTGTATTATTTATACAATGGTTAAAGAACTCAATAAAGTATAATCATTGGATGTGGCACAGACACAGTCAGAGAGTCTGGCTCCACCTTCATCACTTACACTACCACTGTCTCTTAATGCAGTCACTGAGTTATTCATATATTCCCACAAACCACAGTTGGTAAGAGTAGAACAACCAAACTCCAGCAAAAATGCACCACTATCATTTCCAGTAATTTGTTATTTCACATTGTGCTTCGCAGTATAGACACTCCCTTCAAGTACTTCTGTTAAACGTTGTGGTCATTTCAAAGTAGACCAAAAAAATAAAAGCATTTCTTTAAAACCAATACTTTCATCTATATTGCACACAAACAACAAACAAAACCCATCTCACCTTCTGTAGAGTCTGGTCCAAAAAGCTGCTGTGCAAGTGACTGTCCAGGCATTCCTACAGATGAGAGCGAATCTGCACACATCCTCAGGACGAATGTAAGAGGAAAGAACTAACCAAATGTCAACGGGATAATCCTCCCCGTCACTGCTCTCACTGCTCTCTGTAAAGAGCAATAGGCAAATATCACAATAAATACAAAGATTACCGGACCACAAAACGTTAAGTCCTCCTTGTTACACTGATATTTAAGAGAACACTTTAAAATAATACCCTTTCTCCTTTTGTTTTTCTTTTTACGGGCCACCTTAGGTTCATTTTCTCCTTCTTCCTCTGGGTCCAGCTCATCACTGCTGCCCAAAGCGTCTGCTTTGACACTCACTGCAGACGAGAGGACCTCTTCTACAGCACCCTGAGATGCTTCCAGGCCACAGAGTAATTTCACTGAAAATTTGATTTGGAATTTAAGCAACTGAAACTTGTTCATACAAAACATGAGAAGTCATTGAACCAAATTAGTTTGCATGCGGAAGTAACTATAGTATCACAGGTGTACCTTCTTTTTCAACTGCATTTACAACAGCCTTTTTCACCCTTCCCGATTTCACAACGGCTGGGTCGGCATCAGCATAATCAGCAACAGTGACTAGGAAAAAAAAAGACAGGTAGATTTCCTAGTAAATAGCTACGCTGATGTTTTGAGGAGTCAAACACTGAATTTTTCCTTTTCAGCGAACTCTCCTGGTCTGTCACGTGACTTCAAATATATTTATCATTTAACCCTTCCTAATCAGATTTATACATAGCCAGTGCAGAGAATTACATACTTGTAACATTACCTTGTACAAACAGAGTTGAATTTGAAGTGGTAAACTTGGGAAAAGACGATATTAACTTCAGTAGCCTGTGCAATGATACCAGTGGGCGGGCTAGCTTTCTGGCTAAACGTAGCCTACCTGATTCCGAACAAACGTCCCCGGCCTTAAATTTCAGCCGTTTTCGGTTCCCTTTCTTGGGCATGTCGACACCAATGATCTGTGGACGCTTAATGGGCCTGTGAGTCCTGCCATGTCGCTATGGCAAGCGGGGATAAAGAGAAAGAAAGAAAAATGACAGAGAAATTGAAAAATGTTCCGCCAGGATCTTCAGCCATCATGGAATGACGTAACAGCTGCAAGTAACGCGAGATTATTGTTGTTATTTTCCCGTCCTCCTGCTGCAGCGCTCTCTGCACTGCTGCCATCTGCCGGTCAATGAGGATTTTGATGATTTCTATGGAGAAAAGTAAGTCCGCCCCATTCTTTTATCAGTAAATGAAAAATTGTATTAAAAGGTTTCAGAATTAACACTTTAAATAAACAATATATATTTTAAATTTTAAAATTTCGAGGAACAATAGCAGAAGCACAATGCAACTTGGTTACTTCCCTATAGATTCTGTGTAAGTAAAGATCCTCGTCAGATTTATTTCTCCTCTCCTCTAGTTTTACAAGTTATTTCTTAATTACACTCACCAAATACTTGCTGCCATAACTGATAAGACAATGCTGACCAATGAAGAAGTATATAACTTGCCAGAAAACCCCACCTTGATAACTCAAGTATCCACTTAACTGAAGACTTTGGCAATACAAGCATAGAAAAGTAGTTTTTTTAGAGTATTTTTTCTGCAGATTCTCCCATCAGCCTGATTTTGCTAATGTGCTATGAAATGGTTTCTGCACGACTTGTCTCATACATTCATCGACTGCTCATGTCAGAATCATGTCAGGAAATCACAGGTAGGCGACTTTGTCACTCTGTAAAGATGATGCTCCAGTGTCTGACAGCTTAGTAATCAGCAGGGCATTAGTTTGGAGATGTAACAAAAAATTAAGTATTTTTTCCTGTAGTGACCAGAGCATTCGTCAAACCCTTTGTTGAGTCAGATACATAGAAACTCCCCAATGCTGTGTAATATAAGATAAGAAAAACTTTATTGATCCCACAGTGGGGAAAGTTCACCGTTACAACAGTTTCAATAAGAAAAAGTGTAAAGTCAGTACAAGAATAATTTAGAAACACACAGTGCAAAATTGCAGGAGAAAAACATTATATAAAGAAGATTATTTTTTAAGACGACTATATACACAGGGATAAGGTAGTAACAGTTATTGCACATAGGTGGAATGCGTATGTTGGAGGAAAAAGTGTCTAGTGAGTTCTATTCATTTTCCCCCATATCGCCTTTTTGTAAACACAGCATACTGATTTCAAATTGAAGGATACAAACCACAAGGTTTGCTACCAATATAAAGATCTTTTGTCCTTCCTGTCGATGTTGAGATTCTCATTGTTGCTCATCCAAGCAACAGCTATCCTGCCTAGCTCCAACATTTTGTCTTTTTTCTAATTAATTTAATTTATCCTGTGATCCTAATTATTTATCAAACATTGAAGATGTATATCTTTAACTGCATTAAGTCTGTTGTTGCTGAATAAAACAGTACAGAAGAAACAAGACAGAAAAGACCACTTCATGAGGAAAAATTAAAGACCACTTCTTTTTTTCTTCTGTGCAATAAATACAATACAGATGTATCGCATGTTGTTCCACTGGATTTGAAAAAAAAAAATCATTTTCTTTAGACATTGCTCTCAGAGAGTAATAAATAGTGAGCTCAAATTGAAATACTGCTAGTTTTATGTGAGTAAACCAAGAGTGCTTGTAGCAAAAACAATACATCAAGTAAAGGTCAGAGTTGTAAATATTGAAGTTGATTTGGAACACTGCTTCAGAGAATCTGTTCCACCAGTAGGGGGTGAAAAATATCCATCAATGCTTTCAGCAGTTCACTGTAGCCCTCAAGCGTTCAAGCTTTCCTGACATGGAGGGTAAAATATATACATGTGAAGTGAAAATGTAGTGAAGGTTTTTAGCCTGACAGTAGTGATGTCATACATACATACAGAGAGAGAGAGAGTACAGAATAGATTTTATTTCAAAATGCATGTCTCAGAGTTCATTTCATTCGCCTAAGTAAACTGTTTCCTTTATCTTTCTCCAAGAATTCAGAAATTATCACAGCTGTTATCTTAGCAGCCTCCAATTTCACTCCGAAAATGGCCGCAAACCTTCATCTGTACATTTAAATACAAATCTGATCGTGGCATAACAAGTGTGTTCTCTGTGATCATCACTTTTACATGCAGGCTGTTTATCACTTTCTCCACACACTGAAATGAGGTCATGTTTTAGTGCTGATTTTCTTTTAAAGGTAAGCAGATTACTATGGACTTTCAATATATAAATGGTAACCAAGGACAAAATGTAATTATTTGGGAGAGTTATGGGGTGTTGTGGCAAAATAAGGCCGACTCTGTCTTTAATGCACTTTAAGGAACGCACTATGATTTTGCTTTTTACCTTAAAGCAAGAATTAAATTACAAAGCCCTGCAATGTGCTTATGAATAAAATAATATATTCATGCCTCACAGTAATGTGTTAAATCATTGCTATTGTTTGAGTCTTTTCTTTAAAGTTTAAACAGGCACATGGATCAGACTTTGAGTGTTATCAACTCTGTTAGTAGCTCTGCCCCTTGTGTATGATTCAAAGATGTTTTTTATGTAGAAGACGCACCTGTTTATGGATTTACGTAGATATCTTTTCACATTCTAATGGGTGATGTGTCAAAGCCACAGCGCCTCACATAAAAAAATCACCAGAAATAAACAGAAAAAGCCTTAAAAATACAAAAGGTCATGCAAATGGGAGAGCTCCCCAGACTGCTCCATCTTACTGAGTGCAAACCCCCCTTCATTACCGTTACAAGCAGCTCAAGAAATGGCTTTCTCCTGTCACCCGCAGTTAGCAGAAAATGCAGCGCTGAAACACAAATTTCCATAAATGAAGGAAGAAACAAGACACTAGATATTTTTTTTGCGCAAGTCACCATAACTTAGGGTAACGACTGCTCACTGGAGTCTGCACTGTGTCCTTCTGTTGCCTTGACAGAGCAGGAGGGCTGCACCTAACTGTGAGAGGTTAATTACTGCTGTGTCACATTATTTAATGATCAGAGCAATGAACAAAAGTCCTAGCCACTGCAACACATGCAACAAATACACAGACAGGGCTTGGACAGTGTTGGTTTGGTGTGCTTCAGGAACTTGGTGTTGTGGAATTGTGCAATTTAGGTGGAAGGGGTGAGGCAAGAATAAAGTGCCATCACACAAGGTAAAGCCTGTTTCGCATCCCTTTCTCTCTGAATAATCCTCAGGTTCTGTTCAGCTCCTGCAGGGTGCGCTGCACACTCTGGCTTGGTTAAAACTGATGGCACTGGACCGGGCATCATGTCCCAGGAGCTGTCAGGTCAGGGACGCGCTCAGTGGTGCTGATGTGAAGAGTTAATTACATTTCAGCAATTTAAGATTCAAGCCTGGGCTGGCTGTTCGTAACACGATATAACTGCAGAATCATGATTATTGTAGATGACATGAATGACCGTCAGGCTGGTTTTTTTTTTTTTTCTTGCATGCGCATATGGTGCAGACGCTTATAGGCTGATCGTGGGGAGTTGGTCCCTTATTTCCAGCCTGGTAGTGACAACTGCAGATTCCCTCGTGTGTGTGTGTGTGTGTGTGTGTGTGTGTGTGTGTGTGTGTGTGTGTGTGTGTGTGTGTGTGGGAGGAGGAGTGAGCTCGGTGGCGGTGTGGAGAGATGGAAGCGGAGAAGGCGGATGCAGATAAGACTCGCTCTCACTATCCACGGGAGTAAGAAAAAATAAAAAAGGACGCCGATCTCCTCTCGGATTTTTTTTCTTTTTTTTTTCGTTTTTTCAGCTTTTTCTTAAATGTATTTTCCTGCCAATGTACTATGATCTCCGTCGTGCTGGCGGGCACCACCCCTCCAAACGTACCCGTCTATCTCTGAGCTGTCAATCATATCACGCCGGGATTTCTACATGTGAGTGCATGGCGCGCCGGGCAGGGCGGATCTGCTCACGGGGTGAAGAAACGCCGGTTAATATGGATGAAAGGTCAACCATCATCTCATCAGTTCGGGCACTCTGATTAGGTATGGCGATAGGAAAGCTGAGGAATGCACGTTTGATGCACGAGAAAGCTGTAATGTAAAGGGGATCGGGGTGCGCATCCACGGTTGCTTTGGCAGCGCGTCGCCACGGGGCGTTAATAGGCCGTCTTATCAGTTATTGTAAGTCTCTTTTATCAGCCTTGTAACCCGCACATCTCCCCTTCCCTAATCCCGACAGCGACACTGTCCTACAGCAGACCACAGAGCAGGGAAGATGATGTGCGAGGTGATGCCGACCATCAGCGAAGGAGACTCAGCCGGTCCTCCCAGAGGCACCGGCGGCGTCCCGAACGGTTCGGACCAGGAGGCCAACTTCGAGCAGCTGATGGTCAACATGCTGGACGAGAGGGACAAGCTGCTGGAGTCCCTCAGGGAGACTCAGGAGACCCTCATTCAGTCTCAGACTAAGCTGCAGGGGGCGCTGCACGAGAGGGACGTGCTCCAGCGGCAGATCAACGCCGCGCTGCCTCAGGTGAGGAGCAGCCAGCCGGCCTTGGAAGGAGGAGGAGGAGGAGGAGGAGGGTCTGGATGTCGGGTGGAGAGGGGTTGATAGGTGGCTGTGGTTTAATCCCAGGGAGAAGCGTCCTCTGTGTGCACAGCTTGTCATTTGGTAGCTGCTGTACGGTACTGAATTAGACATCTGTCTGCACTGCGGGGTACAGCTATGTGAGGAGGCTATAGGTCAGCAGTGGTGGTCTTGGATTCAAGGAGTGAACTCCATGATCCCCAAAACTCGAGGTTTACTGTATATCAAGTGAGTTGTGTTTATTTGAGGGCTTGTACCACAAAAGCACTGATTCATCACATAAGTGGGTCTACCTCTATTGCCAGGTTCTCATCCTGAAATGGTCCCAGTGTTAAAAGTCTAAATTTATACCTATAGCCTAAGGTTTCTGCGTCACACACCACTGCTGGGGAACCCCTCCAACGCTCCTTCATGTCCCAGGACATCACCACGAGAATAACTGTGAAGATGATGGGAATATAGGCTACAGGCACTTCAAAAGCTCATAAGTGGCAGCATGCCAGAAAGGAGGATCTAAATGTCTTGTGGGCAGAAAGGTAATGTAGTAGGTTGAAAGGTGGGTAGGAAGTTGACGGATGGTTTTTACTCACTGAAATATCGTTGACTCAGTCTGTGCAGGGCTGATGTTAGAGTAGTGTCCTGCTGGTAGGGGTACCTATAATTATCCGAGTGGAAACAACCTCACCTCTGTGTGTGGTGACCTGCCTGTCAGTGGTAATGGGAGCGGAAGGAGTGGATTTTTAAATTAGGATATCTTTGACATTTAAAAGACGTAAGTATGTGTTTGAGAGAACGAGAGCTGAATGAGGGCCGCTGCAGTCACCGAGCATGGCGACAATGAAGCATCAGCACATAAAGCTGTGTTAGCCTCTGACCCTCTGGTCTAAATGCGTGGCATGATGTCACTGCACGGTGTGCGAGAGAGCGGAGAGAGCATGGGAGGGAACCATGCTGACGATGACAGGCTCTCTGCAGCCTCTTGTGAAAGAAACATGGCTGCTTGCTAGTGTACATGGCCCTGGGCTGCTTGCTTCCACACATGCATGCATGTCTGTGTGTGAATGTGTGTGTCGGTGAGGCAGAGATGAGGGAGTGGGAAGAGGCTGTCATGCTTGTTTCTTAATCCTGCTTGGTTCAGTGTAATGTTTTATTCTAGCAATAAAACAAGTATTAGTTATACAGTCATAGACCTCAGGGACATTATGCAGACATTATGACTGGCGTGCACATGCATAAGCTGTCTCTCGCTCTCTCTCGCAAAAACACAACCCACACTCGTGCACGCACACATGGCAAAACGCGCCAGTGGTCCTTTTCCACACCAGCCACAGAGTGGAGAGCTGATGCAACGGACAGCGGGTGAAGCAATACAGAGAAATGAGAAAATCTCAGTTGCGATTGATTTCTGCTCAGTTTTGCTCTGCTCAGCTGAGGAATGAGGATTGTCTGGCCCCGGTGCACTATTGGAAATTGCAGAGTGTGTTTTGTAATGATGAGGGGGAAGTGTGGAAAAAATAACATACTGTATCTGATATCTCAAGTTTGGGTGTGATGAATATATTAGAGCAACGTTGTAGCGGTTGGCAATGCTCCTGACCTCACTATCCTATATGTGTCAGTGATAATTAGGTTGATTCGTGGCTGCGCTCAACATGACCATAACTGGAGTGTTTGTGCCCTCGATGTACAACACAATATAACAGTTTTCTGTTTCCGCTCGCCGCCTCTGCTGTGCAGCCCTGCAGTCATCGGTGTCTACATGTGTGTTGTATGTGAGTTTTTTTGTTTGTTCAGTCCTCTCTGCTCCTAAGGTGCAAACTGATATGAGTGTTGGCGTGACACTACAGTCTCTTCCCCTGAATTTAAGCCCTCTTCTCTTTCATTTTGCCCAACAAACATTTGTCATCTTCACCTATGAGACGTGTGCATGTGTGTGTGTGTGTGTCTGTGTTTTGTTATCCCTTCTGTAGGTTTCCTGACTCCATGGGACTGGTCTGACCCAGAACTGTCAGATCTATGTCTCTCCTCCAAAGACGCACACTCAAACAAACACACATGGAGCAAACAAAGTGTGTGAGCAATTCAAAATTCAGTGGCTCTTCTGTCTTGTAATGTTAAAAAATACATAAACCCCAATCACCTTGGCATCAATGCTCAAATTTATGTTTGCCTCAACAGCATCATAAAAAATGGGACAACATTGCCATTTTGCCACACACACACACACACACAGTCACACGCGCACACACACACAGTCACACGCAAACACAGACTAGGATGGATATGTTCATTAGCTACAGAGAATAGAGTTTCAGATTAACATGTCAGCCCATTACAGTGCATAATGCTTCTAATACAGCCCTCAGAGATGGGCTTGCCCATAGACAAATTAGGTTTTAAACACACACACACACACACGCACACATGCTTGCATGCGCTGAGATGCTTATATTATACACACACACACTCACACATACACATTGTTCCTTTTCTGTGTGAAGCAAACTGTTCTGACGCTGTCAAAGGAAATGTGTTATAAAGCAGGCGTGTGCGCATATGTGTGTGTAATGCAGAGAGGGCAGATAGTTGGTGAACACCGTGTGCCCAAATAAAGCAGGTCACTGTTCATCACCCATAAAGTATATTTCTGTAGTTTTACTGTTAGGGATGACATCGTATTTTACTTCTCTTGTCATACAAGAGGCAGATTGCAGAATAATGGTCAAAATTAAGTCATTTGACATTTTGGGAAATAGTGAAAAGGCTCACTTTTGTGCATGTCACCTTTCCTGATTAGATCAGGACTATGTATCTGTATGGTTATGGGTGACACATAGTACATATATACTGTAACATGCTGCATACACTATATCTGCCATGTGAGAGAGGTGCCAAGGCATATTCTACCTCCACACTAGAATCAGAGTTCAATTTTTCAAAGAGGTCTGTGCCTTTACAGTGGGATGTGAGTTCGATGGTGGGTGTGTGTGTGTGTGTGTGTGTGTGTGTGTGTTGTGATGTTTGGACACCTGTTCCAGTCAGACACAACACTGGCTATTTTTGCCAGCATACAAATACACAGATAAAGGCGCACACACACCTCGCTGCCCTTCCAAAACAACTGTCTCCATTTCAGAATTCTACCCTTTGTCCCCCATTCGTACGCAACATACAGTGATGCAGGTTGTGTTGTTTGTTCGACCTCACACATAGCACTGACCTGGCCTTTGACTTCTTGTAGCTGTGATTGCTGCTTACCCTTGTGCGGACACATAAACGCACATAGCTTCGTGCCGCTATGAAAAAGTGCGTGCCTCTGAGTTTACGTGTATGTCTTCATCCTTGTCCTGCTATCAGTGTTTCAAGGTTGATGCGTTTTCTCCATGTAAAATATACATGTGACAGCAGTTCCTCTCACTACTTGTTCCTCTGCATCTTCATTCTTTCTCACCCCTCATTTCTCTTCAGTTTCTCTTGCTCTTCTTATCTCTGAAGTTTTCCTCTCTGTCTACTGCTGTTTGTCTCTTTCGCACTCTCTCAGTTTATCTAACTCATCAGTAATCTGGTAGTCCATTAACTGGTCCCAGAGACAGTTCTTGTCCCCTCCTACTCCTGCATCTGACCTTTGTCTGCAGCACAACAAAGTCTTGTGTGGGATGGAAGATGACACAGCGCTCACTGTTTTAAGATTTTCAAAGCACCCTGTGTTTGTGTGACAACAGTCACTTCATAAAGTGTCCAGATCCCTTTACGTCTTGCACACTTTATTGAGTTGTAAATATAGTTTAATGTGACAAAATGGCATTGTCTCATCAATCTACCCTCAGCAACGCATGATGTCAAAGCAGGTTTTTAAAAATGTTTTCAGGTTTGCATTTTCTTAGTCTGCATGCCTTAAATTGGGGAATTTATTCCCTTCTTCCTGACTTATCCACTCAGACCCCCTTAGATTGGCTCGGAAGTGTCTATGAACTGCTATCTACAGCTCTCTTTACAAGTGTCTTGTAGGGTTTAAGCCAATTCTGCATTGTTTTGGCTGTTATGTTGGTAGGTGAACCACCATCCCAGTCTCTGCACTGTGGAAGAGGTTTTATTCAAGATCCTCTCTGTTTTTGCTTGCTTGTATTCTGTCATTCGTCCCTCAGCTTGGACCAATCTCCCTGTTCCTGATGCTGAGAAGCACACCCAAAGCATGATGCTGCCACCACCATGCTTCACCGTAGGGGCTTTGTTATGCATGCGATGGGCATTGCATGGTGTTTGCCAGACACAGTCGTTGAAGTTTTGTTCCAAGAGTTCAAGTTTTGTTAATTCAGACTAGAGACTGGCCTAGGCTGTCAAGTACTTTTTACACATGAGGGACTTCTGTCTAGCCCCTCTACCATAAATGTCTGATTGATGGAATGCTGCTGGGATGGTGGTCCTCTTGGCAGGTTCTTCCGTCTCTGCAGACAACCTCTGAAGTTGAGAGAGGCCATCGAGTTCTTGGTCATGTTCCTACTTATTCAATTTGGCTGTACAGGTAACTCTATGAAGACTCCTGGTGGTTCCAAACTTGTTTCTATTTCACAGTTATTGAATCTATCTTGATCTATGCTCACCACAATTTGATCACAGAGGCCTCCCGAGAGTACCTTGAACATTATTGCTTGGGCTTTGTCCAACATGCAGTCGAGGGACACCTACACAGGTGTCTTCCTATCTAAATTATGCCTAATACATTAAATTTGCCATAGTTGGACTCCAGTCAAGTTATAAACACACCTCAAAACAGGATACATTTTCAGTGCCACCAAAAAGGTTCCATATACTTCTGTTTTGTTTTAAATCCAATTACTATTAAATCTACAACACAGTAAAGTGTGCAAAAGTGAAAATGTCCTTATACTTTATGAAGTGACTGTACATGTTAGATTATTCCCTCATTTGGTCTAAACAGAGTTTTG